TTGTCTTCTACATTTTTTGATTCATTTTTGAAATTTTTATCTCCAAATGAAAATAGATTTCAGTTTAATTATTTAACTCATCTGAATCTATTGTGGCATATAGTATAAAATGTGGTCATAATTTAGATTCTTTTAAATGATATCTATTTTCTCCTACATCGTTTAACAGGGATTCATTTATTTGGTGCTATTTTACCAAATTTTTCATGCATTAACTTATTGAGTAAACTTGAATTTATTTCCGAAATTTCTGATTTAGTCAATTGGTCTACTTTATTTATTTATTTATTTTTGCTGGAGGAAGATTCACCCTGAGCTAACATCTGTGCCAGTCTTCATCTATTTTGTATGTGGGTTGCTGCCTCAGCATGGCCACTGATGTGCGGTGTAGATCTGTGCCTGGGAACTGAATCCAGGCCACCAAATCCACGCTAAACTAAACCACTAGGCCACGGGGCTGGCCCCCTTGATTGGTCTACTTTTAAAAAAAATCCAATATTATAAGACTCTTCCCTCATATTTCCCCCTTAAGTGAAGTAATTTTGGGGTTTTAAAATATATGCATATGACCATAGGTACGTGGATACAGATGAACTTTATATTTTTCTTCTCATTTATCTGTACATTCTAATATATATTACATTACAATTAACATATATTATTTCATTACTTAAAGAATCTCTTCAAATAAAATGAAGAAAACAAAAATGTTAATCATGAAATAAAAGACAATTATTAAGAACATAAAAAGAAGAAAGGGCAGTTTGGAGAATATATCACATTAGGGCACATGCAGATAAATGTCTATATCTCCCAAGTTCTCTTATGTGACTATACTTGACTCCATGCAGCCCTCTGTGTAAGCACATCTCTGAGTAGCTGCCCCTAACGTTTCTGAAACGTCCACTTCTCCTGTTCTAGTCTGTCTCAGTCCTGTTCCTGGAATCTACTCGCTATGACTGCCACTGTACCTGCCTTTGGCTTTCGTCCCAATTGGTTACCACAGTGACTACAAGTCCCTGGTTTCTTTCTGGATTTCAGATATCAGACTTTGCTCTCTGTGTGTTTGGGTAACTCTGCTCAAATCTCTTTGTAATCCTTCCTCAATTGTTAACCCTCTTCACCCCCATACCGCTCACCCACCTCCAGTTGCACCAGCTTCTGGGCTGTCCTATTCTCAGCCGCACCAGAATTTGAGGTGACAGACCATCTGCTCAAAGTAGTCATGTCCAGAGAAACAGCTTGTGATTTGTGCAGCCTGGATCAAAAAAACAAAGGTTGGCACTGGAGTTGGCAATGTAGCAATGAGTCCAATCAGGAAAAGAGAAACCACTGTAGACATGTTAAACAGAAGGGATTTAATTCAGGGAATTTGTTACACAGCTGTTGGAAAGCTGGAAAAGCAAAAAGGGGAAAGCTGAGAAAACCAGAGATTTATATTTCGGGAAGTGGTGACTACATTTAAGATTGGGAGAGCAAAGGTGAAGAGCTGGTATAATCATCCTCCACAGCTGCCTTTGGGGGCTGGGACTGCAGGGCGGGTGGGAGGTGGGGTGAGGTGTCACCCAAATAGTGCTCAGAACTTGGGGAGTTGGAGATGCGCTAGGAAGTGTTCTTGAGATATGGGGAGTTGCCTTGGTTCATGGTTTTAGTGCAATGAGGTCCGACTGTTCTTTGTTTCTGCGCTTAGATGAGGTGAAATTGCTTGTTATAGCCTTAAAATAAGCCCTCTTTTACTTGAGCTACCCTGGAAGAGGTCCCTGTGTCTTGGAAACAAAAAAAAAAAAACCCTCCCAATTGCCTCTGAGTGGTCTTTCACCCAGTCCTCTTCCCCCACATTTTCCTTCACCATGCTGACTCAGAACCGCCCCTGCAATGGGGAGTTGACTGTGTGAGAGTTTTGATCATTGCTGCCCTATGACATCACAGTGTTTTTAAATCCAAGAAAGGGAAATTCTACCACATTATCCTTTCTCCTTACGGAATACTAACATTTATGTATGCTTCTTTTCATGTGCATTTTACAATTATTTTGTGTTTTTTATTTATAAAACTTGTAATGCACCACTAATTAGCATTGCATTAAATCTGTGAATGGGAAGTGTTACCGTGTCATTTGCTTAGGCTTTCCAGTTATGAGTGGAGAAAATTCTCCATCTAATCTGATTTCCTTTTACTGTGTCATTAAGATTTTGGAGTTTTCTTTGTACTTCTGTTAGGTTGACATTACAATTTTTAATGAAGATTTGGGGTCTTGGTTGTGAATGGATTGCTTTTCACACTCTCGTTTCTGACTATTGATTGTAACAACTGTTTTAAAATCTGTTTATGTTTCCTGCTGAGCACTTGAGGAAATGAGGAATTGTCCAGTGTGAGAAGAGTGTCCAGTGGCAGAGAGGGACTTGTGTCACTCGTTTGCATTCACGTTTGTGTTTCTTGTGGACAATGTTTGACTAGTACCAGCCCTTGTGAGCCAGGCGGATGGTGTTCCTTTATCGTTTTCCTCTGTGAGTAAGCCAAGTTAATTGACCTGTGCTGGGACCAAATCCATGTCCTTAAACCCTCTGAAGGCACGGGCAGTACAGACTTGTGCTTTCAATAGCTCTCATTTCTAACAATTAGAGCTGCCTGGGCTTCTGTGGAAAATACTGATTTCTGTGATATGAAAGACTGAACTAATTATTTGGAGATTGGTTGCAAGTTTTCAAGCAATGGATTAAGGGTTGGTCTAAATAATGTTTTGACAATATAGTATGATTTGAAAATTACACAAGTAATATGTGTTCTCTATAGAAAAATGAGAAAATGCAGACAAGCTGAAAAAAAAGAGAATGCCTGTAATCCTACCACTTAGGAATAACTACTGTTATTTTAGTGTCTTTTCTTCCAAATGGTTTCCTGTGTCTGGTGTGTATAATTATACAAATAAACATGTGCACTAATATATTTCCTAGTTTCTAAGATGTACTTTTTGACATTTTAACATTTCTGAAATTGAGATGCAGTTTTACAATCAATGATTAAATTTAATAAAGTACTTCTCTTTGCCCCCTAAAATAGCTGTAACTAAATGAAACCCATGGTATCTTAAAATTGAGAGAGAGAGATATTTTTTAATTAAACTTTTTATTTTTAGATAATTATAAATTCACGTGCAGTTGTATGAAATAATACAGAAAGATCCCTTGTACCCTTTTCCCAGTGTGATGGTTAATTTTATGTGTCAACTTGACTGGGCTAAGGGATGTACCCATAGCTGGAAAAACATTATTTCTGGGTGTGTCCGTAAGGTGTTTCTGGAAGAGATTAGCATTTGAATCAGTAGACTGAGTAAAGAAGATCATCCTCATCAATGCAGGTGGGCAACATCCAATCCACTGAGGTCGTGAATAGAACTAAAAGGTAGACGAAAGGTAAATTTGCTTTCTTTGCTTGAGCTGGGACATCTTCACCTGCTCTTGGACATCAGTGCTCCTAGTTCTCAGGCCCTTAGACTCAGACTGAGCCTTATACCATTTGTCCCCTGATTCTCAGGCCTTTGGACCTGGATTTACACTATCAACCTCCCTGGTTCTTAGGCCTTAGGACTTTGATTGAATTATGCCACTGGTTTCCTGGTTCTCCAGCTTACAGATGACAGATCATGGGACTTTCAGTCTCCATGATTGTGTGAAGAAATTCTTATAATAAGTCTCCTCTTGTATGTCTATATCTATATCTATCTATATTCTGTTTCTCTGTAGAACCCTGACTAACACAGCCAGCTGCCCCCACTCCTCCCACCCCCGTAACATCTTACAAAACTGTAGTACAGTATTACAACCAGGATATTATTGATACAGAACATTTCCATTACCACAAGATCCCCATGTGGCCTTTTTATAACCATACCTACCTCCCTCCCATTCTCCTCACCCCACCTAATCTATTAGCCCTGGCGGCCATCAATTTGTTCTGCATTTCTATAATTTTGTCATTTCAAGAATGCTCTATACAAACACTGTATTATTTCACTCATATGTGGAAGATAAACAAACAAACAAACACATAGATACAGAGAACAGATTGGTGGTTACCAGAGGGCAAGGGTATCTGGGGAGGGCAAAAGGGGTAAGGGGGCACATTTGTATGGTGATAGATGGAAACTAGACTTTTGGTGTGAATATGACGCAGTCTATACAGAAGCTGAAATATAATGATGTATACCTGAAATTTACGTAATGTTATAAACCAATGTGACCTCAATTTAAAAAAAAGAATGCTCTATAAATGGAATCATACAATATGTACTTTTTGGGCTTTTTTCAATTACCATAATTATCTGGAAATTGATCCAGATTTTGCATGTATCAATAAATGTGCTCTTTTTTTTTTCATTGTTGAGTATTCCATGGAATGGATATACCCAATTTGTTTAACCGTTCACCCGTTGAACTGCATCTGGGCTGTTTCCAGCTTTTGGCTATTACAAATAAAGCTGAAATAAACACTCCTGTACAGATTTTGTGTGAACATACGTCTTCATTTCTCTGGGATAAATACCTAGGAGTGCAATTGCTGAGTCGTATGGTGGTTACATGTTTAGTTTTTTAAAGAAACTACAAAACTGTCTTCCAGAGTGTCTGTACCATTTTTACAGTCCCTCTCACGGTGTATGAGTGATCAGGTTTCTCTGCATCCTCACCAGCATTTGGTGTTACTTTTATTTTAGCTATTCTGATAGGTATGTAGTGAATTTCCTTAATAGTTACAGTGCTTTCAAATGATCTATTTCATGTTGAGTGAGTTCTGTGTGTATTTTTCAAGGAACTGATCCATTTCATCTAAATTGTCAAATTTATGTGTGTAGAGTTGTTCATAGTATCCCTTTCAAATTCATTGATTTCTGCTCTTATCTTTATTTCCTTCCTTCTGCTTTGGGTTTATTTTGCTCTTTTCTAGCTTCTTGAATGGGAGCTTAGATTATTGTTCTGAGACTTTTCCTCTTTTCTAATATATACACTTAGTGCTATAAATTTCCCTGAAAGAGATATTTTTATATTGCATAGGAAAGCCTTAGTGTACTTACACGTTTATAGCTCCCTACCAAGAAATTCAATTCAATTCAGCAAATATTTATGGGGCCAGGCCCCGTTCTAAATCCTCAGTGTACATCAAGGTACAAAATAGACAAAGATATTGTGGAACTTACTTTCTCTTTTTGGAACTTACTTTCTCTTTGTGGAACTTAATTTCTCTCTGTGGAACTTACTTTCTAGCAGGGGGAGACAGGCAAGAAATAATAAACATAATTTACGTGGTATGTTAGAAAGTGATACGTACAGGAACAAGAAAAGTACTGCAGGGTAAGAGGGAATGGCTATGTGGGGAACTGTGGTACTTAATACTACAGTATTTACTGTACTACATTTAATACTACAGTTGTAGTAGTAAATAGGTTGGTTAGGCAGGCTCTGTGAAGAAGGAGACATTTGAGTAAAGGTTTAAAGGAGTTAGTCAAGCAGTATCGGTAAGAAGTGTGCTTCAGGCAGATGGGACAGCTAGAGCCAAGCCCTCTGGTGGGAACATGCCTGGAATATCTGAGGAAAGGCAAGTGTGGCTGGAGTGGAGCGAGCAAGGGGGAAGGTGGTGAGGATGACGTCAGAGAATACTGGGGGCAAGGACTTTGGCTCTTGCCCTGAGCGAAATGGAAACACTTGCAATACGTGAAGCAAAGGAATGATCCTGATTTAGGTGTTAAAAGAATCACTCTGGCAACTCTGTTGGCAATAGACTATGCCGAGAAGCAGGTGGTCTCTCAGCAGACTGCTGCAGTAATGCAAGTCAGAGGCAGTGTGGCTTGGAGCAGAGTGGTAGCAGTGGGACTGGTGAGAGGCGATCACATTCTAAATATATTTTGAGAGTAGAGCTGATAGGATTTCTTCATAGATTGGACTTGGAGTATTAGAAAAAGAAGGTGTCTGGATAACCAGCTTGATATAAATCCTGAAACATAGGTGACCACATTCAATACTATATGCACCCTTCCTACCCCTACAACTCTGCCCACAGCTTGTTGGCCAATGGCAGGTACTTAAATAGAAGCAGCTGATCAATAGGTTGGACATCAACCTATAGTGTATCCTGGCCTGGTAGTTTTGCCCAAATAAATGGCACTGAACTGTGCCAATGATTTTTTCTTTCAGGAATCAGAACTAGAGAGACAATGAAAAAAATTGTCAGTGAAGGCAAAAGCTGAAAGACGCTGAGAGAAGGCAATATTTAGACTTCATGAGTAAGCAGAAACCGTGAATAAACAAGAGCTCTGAGCAAACAAAAGCCATGAGGCAGCAAAAAGGTATACAGAGTAATGACAGAAGTGATAAAAGATAACCAAGAAAGCATCGAATTCTCAGGAGAGAGAGTCAATGGCCAGGCCTGGGTCACAGGCCTACCCTGGAGCGAGAGGTGCAGTCAGCTCTTCTGTTACCAGAAGTGGGAGAACGGTGCTAGACTGGTGAAGACCACAGGTGTGCACAAGCCACATAGAGTCAGGCTAGAATCAGCACTGTGGAAGCCAGAACCACATATGAGCCAAAATCCTGAGGGTGCAAGGCGGCCAGAGAAAGCAGAGGAAAGTTGCCTGCTGAGGAAAGCAGACAAGTGTAACACATGCTCAGAGAGAAATACGGATGGCAGATGCTGCAGCCATGGGAGAGATGGCACTTCTTCTAATCTTCCTGTTACAGTCTGATCCCAGGGTGGGCTGGCTCTGCTGATCCCTGCACTTTAGTGCCCCAGGCAATTGCCTTTTAGATGGGTTCAAAATATCTCCTTTTCTACTTGAGCTAGCTTGAATAGTTTTTGATTTAGGCTCCAGGGATAAAGATGGTGCATTTGGTGAAAATTTCTTGGTATCTACTTGTCTCTCAGGATTGAGCATGACAGATAAGGTACAAAGGGTGAAAATGCAAATATTTGGTATAAAGAACTCCCTGGAATCATGTGGAGCATTTTACATACCTTCTGTCATTTAATGTGTCGTGTGAGGGAGGTACCATTACTGAGGTTCTCAGAGGGCAAGTATAGTCCATCTTCACTCTTCATGGATTCCATATTTGCACATTGGCTTACTCACCAAAATTTATTTGTAACCCCAAATCAATACTCCTGGTGCTTTCATGGGCATTCACAGCCACGTGCAGAGTGATGAAAAAATTGAGTTGTCCAATGTGCACATTTCCAGCTGAGGTAAACAAGGCAACGCTCTGCCTTCTTGTTTCAGCTCTTAAACAAGTCTCCCTTTTGCAGTCTATTTAGTGCCATGTGTTCTTTGTGCTGGTTGTCGGTGATTTCGCTGTTTAAGGTGGCCTCCAATCAGAATGCTGAAGTGCTCTCTAGTGTTCCTAAGCACAAGAAGCCTGTGATACCCTACAGAGAAAATACGTGTGTTAGATAAGCTTTGTTCAGGCGTGAGTTATAGCACTGTTGGCTGTGAGTTCAATGTTAACAAATCAATAATATATATTAAATAAGGTATCTTTAAACAAAAACACACATGAAACAAAGTTATGTATCAATCGGTTGATGAAAACATTGCAACTGGAGGCTCATAGGAACCTAACCCTGTATTTCCTCTAAGAGAAATAGTTCAGCATTTGCTAATTCAGTGGTCACAGAGACTTTATAGAACATAAGTACCATGAAAAACAAGAACCAACTGTAACATGTCCAGGATCAGATGATCTGTGGCAGAGTGGAGTGCCCAGCTCCAAAGCTTGTCTCTCTGATTCTGGATACCTGTGCTCCTTCCATCCCACCATGTTACCTTTCAGAAGAGAATGAAAAGCTCCTCTGCTCAGTTTCCAGTGCTCCTTCTGCTGCATAATGCTATCTTCCCTGGAACTTGTTGCCTAGTTAGGAAAGGAACAGGTATGAGACAACTATGAAAAATGGAAGATAATCTACATCAGGGCCAGATAGTAATGTGTAGCACATTTGCCTCACTCATCCCTTAAATATATGTGGTGGACATCACCAATCTGTCACAGCCCCTTTTCCTTCTTGAGCCCAGATGGGGTTTTATAATCCTTCTCAACACAGGACTCCAGGCAACGACTGCCAATCAATCAGAGTTGGCATCTAAGATGAAATCTTTATCTTCCTTGCATAATGACCTGTGTCTTTATAAAGTCAGGTACACACTTGGAGGATCTGAGCTGGCAGGCTTAAGGAACTTTCAAGTTTAAGCAAATGTATCAGTCTGTTTCAAAGCCTAGACCCTTATGGTAGCTCTGAGTGTCTGGCTGACTTTGCTTTGGAAAGGCTTTCTGGATTCCTTTACATAAGACGTTGCTCTGGAAAGATTCATCTGGATGAGAACATCTTTCTTGTTCATCTCTGAATCACCTGCCCCTAGAACACTGTCTGACATAGAGTTGGTGCTCAGTGACATTTGTTGGATGCCTGGGCACCCAGATTGACACATCTTCCCCAGGGAGAAGGAGCTCTGGTGTAGGCAGTGATAGAGTGGAATCTTGAAGAGCACAAAGCAGGGGAGGGAGCAGCAAGGCAAGTGGTGGAGCTTTTCAGAGGGAGCAGTCAAGAGATTGTAAATGAAACTGAACTGGAGCAGCAGTCTATTGAGTCTTTCTGCCTCTTTAGTTCTCTTCATGTTCTCTCCTGTGGCTTACCTCTTTACCTCTGGTAAGTCGGATCTGGGAATCCCAAGAAGGAATGTTGTTGGAGGCATACTAGGAAGAGGAGGCCTGAGGTACTCTGCCTGAGCTGGGAGCTAGTCTTGTTCTGAACTCCAGCCTTCAGCTGGGACCCCAGGCTTCAGCTTCTAGAGCTGTTGGGCACCAGTGCTGCTCATTCTCCTAGGCCTTGGGACTCTTACCCCTCTATCTGCCAAGCCCAATTCCTCCTCCTTCACCCTATCTCCTTTCTCCTTCTTCTCTCCTCCATCAGTTATGGCAAACGGAATTTGCAAGGACATAGGGAGGAAGAGGGGATGGGAAATGGGACCAGGAAGAGATGGATGCATTTGACTGGGAATCTAAGGAGGAAATGTCACTTAGTGGGCCAATATAGCATGGGAATCAGGATCGAAAGAATACTGTTAGATTTCCTAACCATGACAGTTATTTTATTGTTGGAAGTGATTTGTCGGTCATAATCTCTGCCCTGGTGTTGGGAGAACTACAGGAAGCTGGAGCTTCCCAATCTGCAGAATCTAGTTCTGGAGAAGTAGTGTAGTACCTAAGGCAGTGGGAAGCAGTGATAAGTTACCTAAGGGCATGGGCTTTGGAGTAAGACTGAGCTGGGTTACCACTTGCTAGCTCTATGATTGGGGCAGGCTTCTTAATCACTCTGGACTTTAGTTCTTTTATCTGTGAGATGCAGATAAAAATGATATGTACCTTGTAGGTCATGATGGTTAAAGAAATGAGGCCTGTAAGGCTTTTGTGAAGCGTGCCTAGGAAACTCAAATGGTATCTATTGTTGGCCTTAATAATATGATCATCTTGCGGTATTGCACATGGTGAGGTATTTCCTTTTCTCCTCAGCTCTGAGGACAAAAGCAAAGTAGACTGAGTTTCCAAGAATCTGTAAGAGGAAGGCAGGTCCTCACAGGGACATGTGAGTCTGTGTCTGAGAATCTTGCTAGTATAAGTGTCAGGAAGCCTGCAAGATTTCCCAGCAGGGACTGTTGTGGGGGCTCTGGAGACACTTAGTTCCCAAGGTCTTAGACTGACTGACTAGGAAAAGCATGAAAGGCTTACTTTGGGAAAGGTTGCCCACACTGCCTGCTGCCCTTCCTCTGCAGGGCTGGAGGGTAACGAGGGGCCATCTCCAACTAACCAAGAAACGAACCAATAAGCCAGAGAAATGGCCATTAAGCTTCTGTAAACCTTGACATGTTTCTGTGATATTCAGTTTCCCACAGCTGGACTCACTGATGCACCCTCCTCACCACCACTGTCCTGTATAATGACCCAGTGTTTGCCTATCACTCGTTGTATTAGTTTTCTACTGTATCTATCCTGCTGTAACAAATCATCACAACCTTGGTGGCTTAAACAACATAAATTTATTATCTTACAGGTCTGGAGGTCAGAAAACCAAAATGGGCTAAAATCAAGGTGTTGGCAGGGCTGTGTTCCTTTCTAAAGACTCTGGAGGGGACAATCTGTTTCCTTACCTTTTCCAGATTCTAGAAGCCACTTGCCTTTGTTGGCTCATGGCCCTCTTCCGTCTTCAAAGCCAGCAATGGCAGGTTGAGTGCTCATATTAAGTCCACTCCAACCTCTCCTTCCATCATTACATTTCCTTCTGACTCTTTTGCTTCCTTCTTCCTCATTTAAGGACACTTGTGATTACATCGGGCCCACCTGAATAATCCAGGATAATCTCCTTATCTTAAAGTCAGCTGATTAGCAGCCTTAAATTCATTTGCAACCCTTGCCATAATTCCCTAATTCCCCCTTGCCTTGTAACATAAGGTATTCATAGGTTTCAGAGATTAGGGTGGATGTCTTTGGGAGCCATTGTTCTGCCTTCAACAACTATTATCCATTGTGCCGTGCTTTCTGATTCTAGAAATAGGGCTGAAACTAGTAAACTCACTCAGATACCAGGCCCGAGCCATCTTCTTTATGATGCTGTCCATGAATCCCATTCCTGAGGAGCTGCTCTCTGGCCTGACTGGCTCCCTCCCCGTCACTTGACCTTTACGTAAAGCAACGCACAGTGCCTTACATTGAGCATGAGGGTTCTCTGGCTGCTCTGCCCAAACAGATGGGTGGGAGAAACTATTCTTTATTTCTTCAACAATATTCAGGGTTTTTATTGTGATAGCCAGACTAATAGATCCAATTTTTCTTTAATGAATATTTTCAAACATAAGAAGCCTGTCGTCCATTCTATGTTACAGCCTTATCTGATAGTACTTTCATTAACTCGATTAATGCCTGAGGATAGTTTACCCAAACTACAATAATCACTAGCTGCCAGTCACTAAAACTACCTAGAGGTGATCTGTACTTTTTTAGACACATGCATAATGGCACACTCATCTACACGCCCACAGTAGTCAGTATGGTGGGAAAAAGATGTTAAACGTCTGTTTAAGGTGTGCCAATGTCCTCTTACCTTAAGGGGAAGGAAAAGAAGGAAGGAAGCTAACATTTATTGAGAACCTGCTCTGTGCCAGAAACTTTATAGTCATAAACTCACTTTAATCTCATTACCATGCAAGAAGCAGCTTTCATCATCTCCCATTTACAAACAGGAAAATTCAGGCCCAAGGGTCACATAACTAGTAAGATCTCAGCATTTGACATCTGGCCTGTCTGATTCCAAAACTTTTTTCTCTCCCCTTCACCTGAACAGCTCTTAAAGCAAGAGGATGAACCAGAACAGGAGTGTTTAAGCTGAGACTAGTGGCTTGAGCCCTAGGGTTCCGTGGAGGTACCCAGGGACTCCTCATGCGGGAATGAAGGTGCTTGGTAAGAAGCCAGCCAAGTAGGCTGGGCTCTGGGCCCTCCCCACCTTCAGTAGACAAGCTCTGCTGTTACCAGTTTTACATATTGGAATGCAATGTAATATTTCTATAGAAAGAAAGAGGGAGTGTAGTTGTGCTAAAATAGTCTCTTGAAGGCCATTAGACTGGAATCTGACCACTATGGCCCTGTGATTCTGGGGTCTGTCTTGTCATCCCCAGTTAATTGATCAATTTTTCCAATGCCTTCGTTATTCACTGAATGTCCATCATGGGCCTTTGGGGAGGTGGGACCCTCCAGAATGAAAGAGATCATCTCAGTTAAGTGAATGATATAGGAATTATTGAGACAGAGAAGAAGCTATGTTCTCCAGGCATTTGTCTGTACCACAGACAGAATGTGATGGCAGAGGGGAAGACAGATTCATGTTGGAGATAGTGCTAATCGGGCCCTAGACTGTGGAAGTTGCTACAGAAACGGAAACTCTCACATTGAAGATGAATGGGGTATGAAGAGGTACACAGATCATTTGAGAATCGTCCCTTCCAGGGACTATATCTGGTTAAGATATGTTCCCTTCTGAGAATCTGCTTTACCGTGTCACTGATTGGCTCATAGTGAGTCAATATGATACTCTCAAAGTAAGCAAAGTCCTGTTAAATATCACTTATTTAAATCTGTAATGGAGATAACTTTGATGAAAGTTTTAAGTCAGCACCTCATAGGCTACAATGTCTGGGTGAGTCACCATCTTAACAAAGGGTAAAATGAAAGCCACATCTTCTCTTTATTCAGGAGACACTCTTCTTTTTCATTTTTATTATTTTTAAAAATTATTTTATCCTCAACAACAAAAAGTGAAACAACCTGATCAAAAAATGGGCAGGGGATATGAACAGACTTTTCTCCAAAGAAGATATACGAATGGCCAATAGGCACATGAAAAGATCCTCATCATCACTGATCATCAGGGAAACGCAAATCAAAACTACACTGAGATACCACCTTACACCTGTTAGAACGGCTGTAATAACCAAGACGAAAAATAACAAATGTTGGAGAGGTTGTAGAGAAAAGAACACTCATACACTGCTGGTGGGAATGCACGCTGGTGCAGCCACTATGGAAAACAGTATGGAGATTTCTCAAAAAATTAAAAATAAAAATACCGTATGACCTAGCCATCCCACTACTGGGTATCTATCCAAAGAACTTGAAATCAGCAATTCAAAGAGACTCATGTACCCCTATGTTCACTGCAGCATTATTCACAATACCCAAGACATGGAAGCAACCTAAGTGGCCATCGACTGATGACTGGGTAAAGAAGATATGGTGTGTATATACACAATGGAATACTACTAAACCATAAAAAATGATAAAATCATCCCATTCACGACAACCTGGAT